TTGGACGTGGAAGATTTCTGCATAGTCTGCAGAAGGGAAGAAATCCTGTTTGAACTTAAGGAGGGGCAGTGATAAGTTCTTAAGGCTAAACTAATCTGTGTCACTGTGGGGCAGTTGGTACTCGCCCTACTCGCACTCGGCAAAGAAACACCGTCTGCCCTGCTTACATCTGTAAAATACACTAGGTTAGAAGCCACAGAATGCCCACACAGACTGGTGCTGCTTTGAACGTATAAAGTCCCACAATTCAGATGTCACAGTTTCTCTGAGTAGGGCCCTCTGAGCGCTGCAAGGCTCCAAGAGTGGAATCTGAGTCACTGTCGCTGCTACTGCATGAAGCCGTCTCTTGTTTTAATGCTCTCACTCTCAGATGACATCTCTTCATCAGGCGTTGATTCACTGACAAGCAAACGCTCCTGTGACTTTCCCCTCAAAAACTACCATCAGAACAAAGTAGTCTGAAATCCAGCTGTGATGCACTACAAATCTGGCAGTTGAGTTAAACAGACCAAAAATACAGAACATTCTTGATGGCTCATTCTAACAATAAAGTTCGCTGAATGTTCCAGTTAAAATGATCAAGATGTTTGGGGACTGCTTTAACATTTTTAATATTAAGTTTTAAAAATATTTCAGAAGCTGAGGAAAAGAAGAAATGGAAATAAGAGATGATTAAATAACAAGTTTGTTATCTGGACAGTATCCAGATATTTGGTTTTTTACCTCCATTCATCATTGAAATCACATTTGATTGTGTTACGGGTGCCATGCTGTACCACTGCTCCAACCTACTGATCCTATTGCACTTCATACTTTCAGGATCAGGCCTACTCTCCTGTCGATGCCCATGGGCTCCTCTCATTAACATTAATGGCAAGCAGACATGCACATCAGTGGGAGAATGAAGTGGATGTTTAGCTGTTACTGAGAATTCAGCTTCAGGAGGAAGTCAGTCTGCCCTACAAGTGACAAACCATAATTTTAAAGTCTGCTTTAAACAGGACAGCTTTTTTTCCCTCCAGAAAAGTGTGATGAGTAAGTAAAGGGCTCAATACAACTCTCAGTTAAATGAAAGGCCATTCTGCTGTTAAGTTTCAAGATGGAACAGCTCAGGCCAAAAGGCTTCCCCTCAAACCTCTTTCTTTGATTTTACCGCAGACTTTTCGTTAGAACTGTATGTGTAATAGCGATCTGTGTTCAATTCCTACATGAAAATGTCTCCTTCAAAGAAAAAAGTTTTCTTCTTCTGCTTCACCACATTAAAACTGATGGTTTGCATTTCAGAACTCTTAGGGAGTTGGACAGGTCCCAGAAATTTTGCACCAGTACCTTACTGTAACAGGTGCAGAGTGCCCGTGACTTCTAAGGTCCAGAGACTGCCACAGACAGCTTCTCAGGGTGCTGGGGAGTTTGCAGGAGCAAGTTAGAGAGAAGAGAGAATAAATCAGTAACACAAACACAAACTTTAGACAACAAAAAAAATTGCTCCAAAGGTATGAAAAATGGGAAGCTACTGATGCTGGCACTGCATGTGCCTTCAGGAACGGTTGCAAAAATTTACAGGTGAAAATATCTCCTACAGTAAATGCCATAAAATCTGTTTTCAGCTCAAGTATTCTCTTAATTGATAAACAATGTTCAGCTCCCGTAAGACCATATATATTCACCCCAAGGGCTCACCGTATTTCGAAATCTAATTACTAATGAGGTTAGAGGATCTCAATCAGATTTAGAAATTACGTCGTATTTCTCCAGGAGCAGATCTTACGCCTTGCCTAACTTCTGCCTTTGCAGCCAGACCTCGCAGTGTGGTTATGACATGGATGTCTTAAGTCCTGAGCATGAGGCAGCACCATGGGGACCAAGCTTTGCATCTTACCAGTATTATCCTCCTTCCTTGTGCCACCTGGCTGAATGGGGAACAGAAGCATGGCTGTGTTGACTCCTTGCCTCCATGCATGTGGGAGGCAGCGATGTCCTGCAGGTGCTGTACCACCTCTCATCCTTATGCACAGTGATTTCATGCTTGTCTGTACTGCCCTTCACCATCTTGCCCTTACCACAGAAAGGAACTAACCAACTTTTTCGTATTTATAATACTTCAAGAAGACCTATGTGGAATGTTCTAAATATTAAAACAAACAGATCATATGCAGAAAGGATGCAGTATTTTCAAGAATAGAATCTGTAAGAACATCACTGTTCTATAATTATTTAAGGCCACACTGACAGGAAACAGATTCAGTTCAAGAACTGTAATCTCTACATGGTATATTGGCACACAGAAAAGTAATTTGATAAACTCTTCCAAGTACTTACTGTACTTTTGAACAAAGGTAAACACAAAAAGCTATAAAAAAACCCACAGACAACTCTGAGGAAAATACAAATGCCTCTAATTTGTTTCCAATACTTTGTTCTTTAGAAACTCTGTTCCATGCTTAAGACCTAACTGAATGCACAAAACCACACTGTATGTATAAGCCCTTATGCAGGGTTTAAAAAACCCCAGTATCTAAAGGCAGATTTCAAATACAAAAGTAAAGGTTTGCATAAAGCAATAAGAAAAAACAAAATTACAAACAAATCCTAAGAATGGGATCTAGGAAGAAAAAACAACATGACAGCTATTGATACTACAACTATTTCATAAAAATCCCAGGGTGAATCCAATTATTGGTGTGACTGGTTTTGCACGGCAAATCCATATTCTGCTGCCTCAAAATTACACATTCATTTCCATTCTTTATACATTCATTTCCCACCCTTTTTACAGTACAAAACCAAGTAAGCCAAACCTGCTTCTGTGAAGCACAGGCTGGACCTGCACATCTTGGGAAAAGTCACATGATCTAGAAAGAGATTCCTCTTCCCAAATGTGCCCAACACAGACTACTATAAAACTCTGCTGCGTCTAAATTAAGATTTCAGTGTCTTAGAAATCTGAATGATTTGATGTAAAGCTGAAACAATGGAACCTACAAACAGAAACCCAAGTCATGACACAATTTAGTTTAGTTTGGTTCTGTAAGAGGTTATTTGCTGCACCTTCCAAACTGACTTCTTCATCTGTTCGATGGTGATGTTAAGTATATTCTCCACTGGAATTAATTAGCTCAGTTCTTGCTGTTAAATACTGTACCTTATTTTATAAAGCAAAACCTGTACAAAGAGACAACCATCAAGAGAAACTTTCAGCTTTAGGAAAGAGCATCCAAATATCCACAAACAGAATGAGTAAAAACACTTCCACATCCATTGCAAAATTGCTTTTGAACAGCTTCTAAGTCAGTGTTTCTATTATATGGAAAGTTGAAAGGATTGGGAAAATCTGGGCATTTTCCTTATGCATATAAAATTAATGTTGATTTTTTATTAAATTCTACACTCAACATTACATTTCACAACAAAAAGGACTGAAAGAGACAACCTGTATTGTATTACTGCAAGACCATTCCTGTTTAAAGAAAGTTTTTGTATAATTTGTATTTAGTAAATAAAGCTTCTGTAAGGGAAGCAGCAGCGCAATACCAGAAAAAAAAAAAGGCCTGTAATAACATTTTAAATCTTTAAATCAATAAAAACTGAAAGCCTGGCTCTGCAAATAAACCCCTCAAATGACACCAAATAAACCAAGAAGTGGAATTACAATATCATTTAAAAAGGACTTAATGATATTGTTAAATAGTGTGAGAATTTGAGAACCATGTGAAATATCTTTATTACAGCATACTCACTGTCTCCAGTCTCACTGTACTTGACTGTCTGTATACCCTAAAGCCAGGATTGTTCACAGGTATTATAAATAAATTCAAGAGAAAAACATTTGTCCTAATGAGAACGCTCTAGACTACCACTAATTCTCTCAACAAAACCCAGAACATCACTATTCTACCCACCAAGTGATACAACAGTCAGTGAAGTCCTACATTAGTAAGACATCACAATCATTTGTAAGAAAAAAACCGCTTGCTTCCATACAGCAACAATTAAAAGTAAATGAAACTTATAATTAGAGGCAAAAAGAATATTTGAATTGTGAAGCTTTTTGAAAATATGTTTACTCAATAATCCACAATTTCAGTAATATGAGCTAGATTCAGAAGTCAGTAAACTAGAGCGATTCCAGTTAAAGTATTTGGGACAAATAGGAATCTCAGAAGCACAGATACTTCCTTAATTTCGGTGGAAGCCATGAATGTTTATCTGATGGCAAACTTTCTTGTGATACTGTGGCTTCTCAATTGTGTCGTTAGAAAGCTGTGTTTCCCAACTTGAATGTAAGCAAAGCAAAGTTCTATTTTGGGTGTGAACATTCATTCAATTGTTGGCAAATCACTAGAAAAATAACTTACTGATGTTCTCTTCTGCAAGAAGAAAGGTAAAAACTCCTGGTCTGCTCTCTACTTCCAAACAACAGCATACGGTAATCCCTAAAACAGCTCAGAAGAGACTCAGATACCTTTTTCAACCAAAGCCACAGTATTTCACATTCATTCAGAGTAGTTCAACTGCTTCCACTTTGTTCACAGTTTTTCAACCTAACTTCCAACTGCTGATGTTTTAAAGAAATTCGTATCAATTTGTTTAATGAAAATATATTTTAGTAAAGTCGTGCTCTATGAGCTTCCTACATTGGAATACATGAATACAGGAAGTGCTTTCAACAGAAAGTTACATAGTTCTACAGTACAACCTGTCTAAGGAGATTTGGAAGGGACCAAACTAATGATCTGGTCTCTTTGGATTAGGCAGAAGTACAGGCAAGAGGGAAAAACCCAATTTATGCCATATATAGAGCTCGTTCCTGTCACAGATTGAAGAAACATTAGTTTGATGTCAAGGTTCACCCGATGCCCAAATGCTAGTATTTTTCAAACCAACTGCATATCAAAAAATGAAAACTTACTTGTACTAGGCTCCTGGAAAGAAACTCAATGTAAATCAACAGTATATACATATTAGCTATATTAATAAGTGTTCTCCACCAGTAGTTTTTTTTTTCTTTTGCTCTACAGATCATTAACTTTTTCTCAAAGTGCAAATTATCGACCTTTAATCTGAATGCAGGCAGGTCAGAAGCTACAGTATTAGAGCAATACAAAAAAGTACACAAGGAGGAGCTTACATTAATTTGGAGAACCTTACATAAAATGTTTCTAAATTGAAAACCACAAAACAAACCCGAACAAATACAGCATCAGGTGGATGGGGGAGAGACCACTAACATATCTGTGTACAGCAAGGCTTCTCTGACACTAAGGAAGTGTCTGACACTAAGTGAAGATTAAATATTAAATCCTGCCATTTTGCATGTTGTGCGTTCTTTACGATGGAATGTTGACCTCAATTTTCGTTTTTTACTTCCACAACAAATCTGTTGATTGTGACTGGGGATGATCATCTTCTTGAGAGACCAAACTCCCTTAAAACCATGACTGCACTTTGTACTGTCCATTAGGATTCTAGTAAAGTATGCCATCTACATACTTGCTGTCCTTTAGATTCTTTCATTTCAGTCCAGTGATTGAGTTCATCTTCTCCTGAGCTGTTGAGACCTAAGGAAATCCACCCTATCATCTCTTTTCGTTTCATGCTGCGCTTATTATATACAGACAGTATGAGCGTCACATCTGAAAGCTGAAACAGTGCCACTTGGAAAACGAAGGTTTCTTTATATACTGGATTTGGCTGCCCTCGGCGGATTGAAGTTTTGCATTTGGACATCTCTTGCCCCATCGAGTTCAACAGTGTTAACTTAACATAGGTATCTACAAAATAAATCATATTTTGGAATGTCAGATATCTTAGAACAAAAGTTCCTGAGAATGAGATATTTACAAGATAGAAGGATATGGAGTATACCAGGCTGACTGAACACAGCTTAGTTTAGACACATGGAAAGATGACAAGTAAGCAAAATTATAACAAACACACTAACAAATTAACTAGCTTCAGTACTATGTAAATGGATTAAGTTAAAGCTATACCTCATAATCCTCTACCCCTCGACCCCCCTTATTTGTTCTAAACAAACTTAAATTTCATTAACACTTAGCAAGCTCCAACTAGCCACAACACTGTAAAGCATACCACTGAATTTTCAGAGAATGAGAATAAACGAAGTGGAATGAAGGCAACTAATGAAGAGAAAAATATAACGCTGATACGCAGTGATGATATCAAAACAGCCAGAATGAAATGTTTAAGAATAATCTCTGCATGGATGTGGTTCTCACTTTGGGCTTTTCAATTTTATTTATTTTAAAGACCAAAATGTAGCAAAGTGCATTCAAAGGTGGAAGTTTACAGAATACAAAAACCCTCTGAATTCCTAGATTCATGAAGGAATAAATTTAATACACCTTTAAAGAGAAGTATGTTTTTGCATAATTCAGGATGGTTGTTTAAAGTACAGCTTGTACAGTGCTCTTAGGAAGTACGTTTAAGAACCTGATTCAAGTAAATGTGGTTAGCACACACTGGGTGTTAGTATTTGGGTAGAAACCCTTATTTTTAAAGCTCTGTTTTCATTTGACTAGAAGCAGCAAGCCATTCTCCTGCAGAAGGATGCGCATTTCATGAAGTTAACTGATTTTAAGAAATATTAAACTGTATAAAACAATCTGGTGTTTCACTCTTTATTCCTGTAATATTCATGTTAATGAATAATATTATCAAAAGATTGGAGTTTATGTAATAGAAACACATTGAATATTTTCACTTTGCAGGTACACTGAAATCCCAACATCCATAATCAGAGATAAATGCAACTTCTGCATTAGAGAGTGCCACAAATATTAAACATATAGTTTTATAAACCAGTATGGTAGGCAGCTGTGGATAGCTTTACTGCTGGCAAGTTTTCTTTTGCATGAAAAAGACAACATCCAATTAGTTTCTGCAGGAACTCACCTCGGATTATATAAACCTGTCCACCTATCAAGTGTTTTAGACAACAGAACAGTCCGTCTGACAACAGGGGGTGGAAAGCAGTAAAAGAAATAATGACCAGATGTCAATAGTTGGGTGAGAGAGGATCAAAGGTTAAAGTTTAAGAGGAAACACTATTCACTGGAGTGGAAGAACACAAAACCTTAGCAGCATAGATCAGAAAAAGGATTGAACAAAAGGATTGTTGGGTAAAATTTAATGAAATGAAAATTTTGTGCAGTTTTTGCGTAATCTTTAACAAAAATTACACCACTTACATAATGAGTTATCTTAGCACTAATAGCTACTGGGTTCTACAGCACACTCAACATAGAAAGAACCATGCAAACGATTAGATTATAGAAGACTGGGTAAAAATCACTGTATGCTTTTTATCAAACCTTATGCTTTTTCATGCAAACTCCAGCATATTAAGAAAAACTGCACAGAGTAATTATACTTCATATATTAAAAGCAATAAAATGAAAAATCACCGAACTGAAAACTAAGCTGGTTTTGCCCTTAGCTTTTATAGTTACAGATATTTGATTGTAATACTTTAGTTTTTGAGTACTGATGGACTTGGGCATGAGAATGACTCTGATCTGATCTCTAAAAGTAGCTGAGGGATGCTTGCATCTGAAATTCAACTATGGGTCTCTATTTAAAATGCAAAGATCTCACTTGTCAAAATCCATGTGTTTATGGATTTAATGTGTGTGTGTGCATGCATACACACACATGCATTTAATGTGCAAAAGCTTGTACCCTGTTTCAATAAAATTTTAAAGAATACTAAGCACCACCTTTTTCTCAGACAAAATATTAATTGTCACACAGAGAAACAATGACATGTTCTAACACCAACTGCTGTTGCCTGCAGGATTTGGCCTATTTGCCTGTACTTGGTTGCTAAATGAGTTACTATATAACATATAAATATGCAGCAGAGGAGTATATACTGCCAAGAATCAGAAATGTAGGACTCAATCCATATTTGCTGCAGAAGCATTTCACAAAAATTGCATAGGTTCACAACCCCAGGACTACAGAAAGGATCGCTTGTGGGAAAGAATAATTGCTTCCATTTATATCATAGTTTCTCAAGACCTGAATGAAAACTGACCTGTGCATGTACTTTGCAGCACTTCTCAGGATTTTGGACCACTGACGGTACAAACAACAAATTTGATCAGAGCATTTCATCATCATCCCTATGGGCCTTAGTTTTCATTTTGTGGAAATGATGGCATAGAAAGAGGCTGGTATGTGTCCACGATGTTCTTGACAGGGAGTTAGGAAATGGCAGTGGTATGTACCTGGGTCCAAGAGTTTACAAGAAGATGCTACCACTGCTGGGGGGCAGGGAGAGACACACAGCACAAAACAGCCCACAGAAGAAATCTGGATTCCACAATATTCTGTGCATGGTCTTACCAGACCCAAAAAGTGCATTAGTTTCCAGATTTCTACAAACAACAGAACTCCAAACCTGCATTTGCCTAAACAGAACTGGACTATTATCATTATGAATATCAAAACTTCCTCCTATCCTTCACAAGGTATGACAAAAGCTAACACACAAGATCTTCCCTCCAAAAAGGTTAGACAGAACATGGTATTACAGGGCTATGTGCCATGTTCTATGCTGCTTTCTTGCAATCTGAAACAGATTTTTGACCCCAGTGACACACACACACACGTGTTAGCTAGACAGCATGGGCCCCCAGAACCCATTTTGGGAATTAACATACCAGGGAATGAACATAACTGTCTTCAAAACAAGTACTGAACCCACATCTAACTTGCATATTCTAAATATTAAGAAAAACTTGGCTTTCTCTAGAGATTTCAGAATGATAAGCATAAGCCACCTACTGTTTTTGCTTTAAGGGAACACATGGCCCCTTCTCTCCAAGTCTTCCCTCCCATTCATTCCTTCCCCACCCCAGTGTCCTTGGGCCTTCTTGGCTTTCCCCATCTATTTCAATGCTTTGTCTCCAAATAGGTGACTCTGGGGCAGCTACCTAAGTATATAAAAGTATGAGAGATTCTTCTTCTGCCTTCCTTCTTTGGCCATGTTAACAAAGTCTGGCTCCATCAGCGTGAAAAGTATAGAGAAAGCAAAGCAGAGTAAGGCTCAGCCAAATGTAATTAATGAATAGAATAAAACATGGGTCAAGAAAGAGAGAGGAGAGCATCAGTCTCAAGTTGTTTGGCTTACTTCCTAAACTCTGAAGACAAAGTGAGATGTGCAAACCATTTATAAAATGTTGGCAGCCTGCTACAAAATCTAGTAGTGCCAGTTAACCTGCTAGTGCCATAAAATCTGGGGATTAAAAAACAGAAAGAGGGACTAAAACCTGAGCCTCCAGACAAAATCAAGACAAACAGGTAAGGTATGTCTACAAGTTACATAAATCAGACTCATCATCTAAAAAACAATTTAAAAAAAATTTTTAAAGTTCATTACTGAATTTTCTCAAGCTATATCAAAGAATTAGAGACAGTAAAAACATTCTGTGTGTGTGACATTCCATCTGCCTCCAATTTAGAAGTACATAAAGTTCACAGATATTTCAGACAAATGTATTTTTGAACAAATGCTTGAACGCACAGTTCAAGTCCTTTCCGATGAGCATTCCTTCTGCACAGTAAACATGCCAAAGGTCTCAATTCATTTCTCTGTTGTCTTTACTGACATTCCCAAGTTACATATATTACTGCCATATATACACAGGCATATAAGCAATTAAAGACTGCAGTATCAACCCCTCTAGGAACAGCAATAACTGTTTAGAGTGTTTATATTAATATGAGCTGGCATGTACTTTCTCTTTAAACACTAACTTTTTATTCTTGGCCTGTGATGTGAGGCATCAGTAATTTAGCAATTAATCATTATGATAAAGGTAATTTATTAGTCAGTCATCATGAAAAATTAAAGTCTTGTCAACTTACAATTAATATTTTGAATTTTAGATTTTTGCTATTTCCCGACTGACTAGAAATATAAAACATGAAACAGATTAGTTGATGATTGCTCTATTTCATTTTGATTGGGTAAGACTAAATGATAGGATTGAAGTCCTTGCTACTGAGAGCCCCACCAGTACAGAAGCATTAGGATGAAAAAAGATTTTCACTCACTGGGTGGTCTGTTTGCTGCCAAGTTTTTGAAGTGGCTGCCTTTTATCACTTCTGCTGATAATCTTCCAGTTGTAGCATTATAAAGGAGGCCAATGAGGATTTCTGGAGCTGAGCCATGTACCAGAGACTGACAAGAGGAGGTACTTTCACTGCAGGACACTTCCGACATGCTCATTTGAGAGTCACAACCCTATAAAACAGATAAAAAGTTCTATGTATTTTATGGAACAATGTTACTGGGAAGTAAATTTTTAGAATAATGCATAGAAAATTAGGAAAGCAACTTACTGACAATAACAGAAGTTCCATTCAATCACCCAATAAGAAATGTACATCCTTAATATATACTTAGTTTGCATATGTTAAAAGGTTACAAAGACTAAAGCAGTCTGGAATTAAAACAATTCTTAATTTTGTGTTTCCATTGCTTCATAATTCAGGAGAAATAATAGCAGAAGATGAAGAGCAGCCTTTATGGTCCCTATTTACTTCAGTTGCTAAGATAAGACCTGTAACGTAATTTGTCAGCATCCTGGAGAACATTAAACTTTGGATCTTTTACTTTCCAAAAATGGAAAACACTAGTGGAACTCTGAAGATAATAAAATGCAGGAAATTCTTATTCATCCTTTGTAAAGGTTATTCTCTAGACTGAGAATTTATGAGTAGCAAAATAACAGAACACATGCAAATAGAAAAATGCACTCTGTCTAGAATAAATTAGATTACAAGGAATTTAATTGATCCAGGGATACAGAACTGCAATAGACCCTTTGTCTTGGGTGGGAAAGGAAGAATGCCATCCTAAAGCTCAGCAAGTGATGCTTTAATTTCCACCCTGCAAGCTTCCAAAAAATTCAGCTCTGTCATGCAATTCTCACCACATCGCATCTTTGATGGGAACTTCCAATATTAATTTTTATCATTTTAACCCCTCATTATTGGCCTTAAAAAATGAAAAAAAAATTATACTTTCTTTACACTGCCATGCTGATCATACCATAGTTGTTCCTAGTTTCATTTCTTGCTTTCATGCACTGGCACATAGAGTTGTACCACTGAAAATAAGAAACTGGACTGAATCTAGCCAACAGCATGGCAATTTGCCTGGTAGCCGAGAACAGACTTTTGAATTACCAGTATATCCCTTTATGATTCTCTCAGGAAAAAAATGTAAATTGGATCCACAGATCTTTCAGATATGGCTTGACTCATTTGGGAATCTGGCAGCACTCTTTCAAGAAGTCATGATGATTTTGTGAAGCTGATTCTTCCAGATTCCAAATGTCTCTATCATTTCCAGCAACAGCTGACATGGGTGCAAGATCAGTCCTAAAACCTAAATAGCACAAATCTTCATCAAGATAAAAGTTAACTTTAAAAGCAGGTAACTTGATCTGACGTATAAAGCCCAAATGCATTACAGAATCTCAAATTATAGAAGACATGATACCTACAAGAAGAAATTATGAACCTACAATAACATCCTCCATATTGATGTTTTAATTAGTTCTTCTCTATAGAACATTTCCAAGAAGTCTGGCAGAATTTTCAAATAGCAATCTAGTTCCTCACTAACAAACATTCACTGTAGCTGGCAAATGTATTCTTACTACTAAAGAAGGACCTCAACAAAATTCCCTGACTTCCATCCCCCAAGCTGCAAATTCTGAATTTTAAGTCTCTGGTTATTTCTCCAGTAGTTCTCTATTCAATTCCAAGAATAAATTTCAAATGGGTTGCAAATTGTAAATTGCTGAAATTGAACTACAAGTATACATTCATTCTCCAATTCTTGGCACTCACAAAACAGGGAACTTTTGATTCCTAACTTCAACAGCAGAATACAAAATGGAAAATTTAAAAGAAAGATGAGTTGATTCAGCAGTCAGTATACACTGCTCACTTGAAAGCCTCAGACTGTCAAAACTGCAGCTATTAAGTTTTCTGGTCTTTTAAAATTGTAACACATTATCCCTGTCATGCTTATCCGTCTTACTATTTTGTTGGGCCAGGAATTTAACCACAGTCAACGTGATACTGTTCAAAGCTTAGGTCTCAAATTTGATTGTGATCGTGCTGCAAATCCCCAAAAAAGGCATAACACGAAGTGAGCAGCTGGGTAACACTCCCTCCCAAACCCTCAAAGGGCTTTGACATCTGTACTGAGAGAAGGTGATGATACCACTTTTTTCCTAATTGTGACTTATTTGTACAGTTTACTAATGTTCTTATAGGGACTCAGTCTAATTCAGTTTATGACAGAGTTAAACTGATTACAACGGGTATCAGAATAACATTTGGAATGCTAGAAATAGTAAATAGTAAATGAGTGATGACTGAGTGGGAATGAGTCCTGAAGTACCTTGAAAAGGAAGACAAGTAGCTTCTGCGTGATATATTAGAGAAGGGGGAAAACAACTGAAAAATGAAACAAGTGTGATATTACAAAGTTACCTAAAGGATGGGCTAGAAATATCATTCCTTTACAACAGAATCCTGAGTGGATGTGAGAAGGGCAAGACTGCATTTGTCAAGGCCAGAGAAAAGGATCTCATCAGCTGAATGGTGGGATGAGAAGACCCAGGTGATGCTTCAGATCTGTAAGTGGATGGAAATGCAACTAAGCGGCTGTACCTTAGAACTGTTGCACAGATAGAATTGGTAGATGTAGCTTAAAACCAGGAGAGAGGGTCTAACTTAAATGCATTGCTACAATATTTTCTAAAACAAAATATTTTGCCTTTTGTTTTCAGACAGGTGGCAGGTTTGAAACAAACAAAAGCATGGTGTTTAATCCCTCATGTATAATAAACTTATGAATCTCCTTCCTACAAAATGCTGCGGTGACAGAAGTTTAAAGACATTAAAATAAAAAAGCAACCAAATTCACTGAAGAAACAATCTAAACAATATTTTGTTTTCCATTTCACATAAAAAAAAAAAGACTCCAATCCATTTTATTTCATGCTGACCCAAATACTCTGCTTTTCAATTATGAACTGGAAAATCCTAATATAAAAGAAAGTGAGATGGTTAAGAAGAAAAATGAAGCAGTGAGGAATGAAGCAGATTAGAAGACAGACTGATGTTACTGGGTTAACAACATAAACCAAAGTATAATTTCTGTGTCTATGATAAGGGAGAAAACAGAGAATTTGGGGGGCAAGTAGGTAAAAGAGATGAGAAAAAGGGGAAGGTGAGGTTGTATTTTGTCAGTTTTCTTTTGAAAGAAAACAGAAAGATCCTATGAGGAAGAAAAGAAGAAACAGGAATCAGGGAAGGTAAAGAGACAGCTCGGATCAACAGGGCTCAGATCAACAACTGGAGAAAGACTTTTCATTGCAGGACAAAGGTAAAATCAGGGATACTGAGAATTATTAGATGTCTTCTCAAAAGTATTTTCTCCACCACACAGTTTATTGTTCACATTGTGGAAACCCATTCATTGTTTTCAGTAAGGTATTCCATGATAATCACAGCTGCTGGTAAGTAACCTGACTTTGTGTTAAGTCCATAAGCTGCACTAGAATTGAAAATAACAGTTTTCCAAGTCCCTGTATAGAGGGTTTTTTTCTGTTTACATAGTCAAAATTCAAGAAGAGTGCTAACAAACTCATCAAGAAAAAAGCAAGACAAGAAGTTACATTTTTACCTGCTCAACATGTAACCTTCATGATGACATGCCAAACTGTAAAATATTAACACTGAAATTGCTAATTGGTACAACATAAATATAAACTTAGCTACAACAAAGCTTTCATCTCATGACATTACAGTGCTACCAGATGCTTTTCATTCCATACAGATCTGCATTCAATGTATCTGTAGGCCACTTTGATACTGTAGCTCCACTGTGGGAAACGTAATATTTAGACCAAAAGTTACCATTTGTTTGAAATAATCTGTCTACGTAAGTTTATTTTTGTAACTCTTCTCTCTCTTCCTCTATAAACACTGTGTGTATTTTAATAAGGGAAAAAAAGGACTAAGGTTCCATAATAGCAAAAGCCTTTCAAGGTCAGTGAAGCACCAGAATAGCCTAGTAAGAACTGTTGTAAAATCTTAAATGCAGATTTTTAAGAACTTGGATGAATTGTCAAGGTATTGATGATCTGGCCACAGTGCAAGAAGCTGTCTCTTGAGTTTGTCTCCAGGATATTAATGCTAAATCTCTAACCTATTTTTGTCAATTTAGCCATAACAAGAATGTATTATTAACAGTAAACACAAGCAAAAAAATATTAGGTAAAGTCTATTCCAAATATTTGGTTCAAAGGTCTGTCTTACTACAGTAAATTATAAATTTTCAGCTTTTCAATGTTATAACACAGAGCTTTGTGCAAAGGACCTAAACCTTCCCATAGACACCACAGGATAGTACTTTACTACAAAGTTAGGCAGATTTTATTTGATCATCACTTACAAGAATCAGTGCCTTTCACTAGATTATAAGAGTAATGTGTGTTATATTCTACAAAAAAATTACTAATTCTCCAAGCTATTGTCCTTGATGACTTCTATGCATATATTATCTAGGGAAGAAACATCACTTTTTAATAAATATATAACAAAAACATTCCCATTAAGCGGTATTTGTATTTCACAAAATACGAATTTGTATTTGTACAACAGTTGGCAATCAAAAAAAGAACACTCTTTCTTCCCTCATGCCAATGAACGTGAATACATACAATGCATGATGTCAGACCTGAACCCCTAAGAAGTATTTTCATTAATCTTTTTCTCTGCTCTCTTACAACATAGAGAATCCTCTATTTGCAACTATGGTAATATATGTAAAATGTATTTATTTGTCTTCCTTCACCATAATTCCATGGAAACAGGATATTTGTTACTTACATATTCATCTCCTACTGTTATTTTTCTACACCCTGAAGTTCTGCTTATAAATTCTGCTCTTAAGCCAACTGGAGTTAATGACAGGGAATAATGCAGCCATGTTCTGAGGGCAGTTAAAAGTTCATTTTCCTCCACACACAGGTTAAAATCATGCCTCTGTAGGCTTACAAAACAAGAACATCTGATTCTCTTGGCTTTTCAAAATATACACAGGAAAGATGAAACCTTGCTGACAATCCTTCAGCAACAAAAATCTGATTCACAGCATGTTACTTGTCAAAATGTCTCTCTCAAATTTTAAATGTTAATGTTATACCAGTAATGTCT